TTGTCGCCAGTCCACACCGCGCCGTATCTGGTAAGCCAGCACAGTAACCCATTATTCCACTGGCATACAACTGGCTTGCAAACTGGACAGTTACACCATATAGAACATGCCAGGCATTATTATATGGAGTCGTGATTTTAGTCCCTTTTCCTTTCCACCATTTTCTTAAGAGCAAAGAATGGGATCCTTCCCAAAGGGCCCTTTCCTTTTTACTAAAGAGCGAAGATGCATGGGAACGGGAAATATCCCCTTTATGTGCGTCTCCTCCTCTATCAATTAAGGGTAGGCAAGATTGAATGCGGATTTCTCTAATGTATAGTGAATGTTTTATTTAAAATTTAGTATAGATTTAATATGCATCGTTAATTTACATTAAAATCATTTTCTGATCAAGCTATAATTTTCATCATCATGCTGCTTATCCTACTCCCGTAGGACGCAACAGGTTTTTGTCCTCCACATAACTCTATACGTCATCTCAGTCATCATTCCGTTCATCACGTCACCTTTCACGCAATCCATCTCTTTCTAGATTACTTCAATTTATTTCCTTTTATATATACACTGGCTTTTGCCCGCGACTTTGTCCGCGTGGATTAATAAAAAAAAAAGTGAGTAGCCTATGTGTTTCCCAGACTATCCTCTATATCTATACCAAACTTCATCTAAATCCATTCAGCTGTTTACGCTACAAACTCTAACAAACATCCATCTATCTAAACATCCCCTACAACATGGACCCTTGATAACTTAAAACCTATAACTTAAAACATATTGTGTTTCTCTTGGACTTTAACTTATCGAGGTATCTGTATTAGTATGATACGTTACCTCTGAGTGCCAGCGAAGGTGGACCTGGTGAGTATGAAGGGCCTGTAATTGTGGTCAGCTCGCTGCAGCAAGCCCTCCTGCGTGGCCCTGATCTGCCACAGACCGTACTCGTTGTGCACATGTCTGTTAAACAAAATATAATTAACAAACACCCTATAATAAGAGAATTTAATTAAATAGATTCCGAAACTACTAACAAGATTTTTGACCGACTTCCCAAAAGAAGGAGGTACTCAATTCGTCTGCATGATTTTTTTTTTTTAAATTCTCAATGGGAAAGGTAAGAATGTGAAATAAAATATATGAGAATTCATTCCCACTGTAATGAAACTGGGATCGCAAATTGTATTTACAATTTTGAAGTAAACCTTTTTTGTATGTTGTGAATTAGAAATGTAAAGAAAAAAGTGAAAATGGTCCGTCTGTCTGTTCTGTGAATTCTTGGAATCGTTGCTATAGCTAGTTTATACTTCTATACTATTATAATAAAGCGTAAACATACACTTCTTTGTTGCCTAAGATGTCAGCAATTACACCACATTTTTGAATAACTCTTTTTTTTAATAAACAGCCCTACTCTTACATCACGCTTTAGGCTATATATTTTCACGCCATTAAACTTAGGAGGTAAATATTTTGGATAAAAACCCTAATGTGGGAAAGAGACCATAAGTTGCTGCCAACATCAAGGAAGCATGGTGGTCATGTCATGTCATTCTGACATTTGTAATTGATAATTTGACAAATGTAAATAATAAAATAAAATTTTCATAATGTTATGCGGATGAAGCCGCACGGGAACACCTAGTATAATATAAAAAAAACATTGAAGCATATAACCTATGTTCCCAGTAGTCGGCGAGTCCTTCCTGTCCGTCGTACGGCGGCTTGTAGTGCCGGCAGTCCTTCGGCATCGTGATCTCCGGCCCATTGAACACCTGCAATATATTTATTATTCATTTACAATATCTTACTAATATTACCTAGAGGAAAGATATATATTTTTGAATTTTTGTATTTTTTGTATGTATTGAATAAATTCAAAAACTACTGGGCCGATTTCAAAAATTCTTTCACCGTTAGAAAGGTTATTTATCTATGAGTAACATAGGTTATAATTTTTATTATCACGCGTGCGAAGTCGCGAGCTACAGCTAGTTTACTATACCTTACTAATATTCATCTACACCAAGAGAATTATTACCAAGAGAAAAGATTTGTATTTTTGTATGTATTGGGAAAACTAAAAACTACTAAGAGCCATTAAAAGCATTATATCAATGAGTAACATAGGCTATATTTTATACAATTTTTTAATTATATGTGGACGAAGTCGCGAGCAACAGCTAGTAATATTTATAAACTGCCATGTGTATAGATAATTTAAAACAACTACAACTGCTAAAAAATAAATGTTATATTTGTACATAATTAAAAACTGGAAAGATCTAATAATAACAAAGAGAAGATAATAGAAATATCTAGGAACAAAATGGGGATGAAAACCTTATGGAAGGAATAAGAACAAAAAAAATTAGGATAGAAACAAAATGGGAAGGATGAAGACAAAGTGAAAGGGATAGAAACAAAATGTTTGGTGTTGAAACATAATAGGAGGTATAAAACAAAATATTAAGAGATAAATATATCAACATACACTAGGTTCATTCATATCGTTCCAGATGTGAACATTCTTGCTGGTCCCCGGGAAGTTCTCAAATCTATATCTCTCCGAGTAGTACTTAGAAGCAGCCGGGTTGAAGAAGTCCAAGTAAGAAGATGAGCCGGGCCAACACCAACCTGTAACAAAGTTTTAATCTTTAAAATCAAGTTGCATAGCCATCTCCTTAAGAGTGACTCTTGCTGATTTGTTTTTGCTTTCTCCTTATTTAGTTTATTTGCTGTATATATGTCTGTTTATTATGTAGGATGTAAATATGTGTGTTAGTGTTCTTATATGTATTAATTTCCCTTGTGTATTGTCTAGCTTCTCCTGTCCCACTGGGTTGCCTGTAAGAGATTGCTTATAGCAATAAGGCTGCCCTTGCAAGTTTTTTGTATTAGCATAGTTTAACCATTTGTATTATAAGATTTGCATAAAGATTTAAATAAATAAATAAAGTTGTCTTAATTTACACTCATAGACCTTAAGTGATCATCAAAGAAAACTTATAGTGTAGATAAAATGGTTAAGAAACAAGATCTTTAGTGTGTTTTGAGCAACTCGTATTTGAGTGTAGTACATTATTATTATAAATTATGAACAATTTGTATTTTTGTATGTAACAAAAAAAATTACTGGAACTATTTCGAAAACGGTGTTAAAGTAAAGATGAAAGAATGCTATTTGGAAGCTAATACAACTCCCACGTTATATTTACTAGAATTTTAATTCCACGATGAGAAAGTCTGGGGCAAAAGCTAGTTATGAAATAAACTGTAAAATGTAAATAAATGTCAAAAAACTTCGAATTATCAAGTTGTTTGAATCACTATTGGAGACAATTAAACACCACTTAACGGCTAAGTATACATTACCTTCATAAATATTTCCATCTTTATCTTTAACATATAAGCCCTGCTCAGTCGCATCTTCATGCACGAAGTATCCAGCTTCTCGTTTGATGTGAGGGTCGATGATGACGACCAGCTTTCGACCCTTGGCTGTTAAGTTGGCCACCATATCTGCAGGGTGACGGAACTTCTCCGGGTCCCAAGTGAAGTACCTACAAAAGTACAATCAGGGTAACTGGCGGTGATCGATATTAGCTATAGTCTGTAGTTTTTAAAACACTGAACTATACATCATAGGAGAGTTTTATAGCAGTGTTTTGAAAGAGTACATTTTAGATCTGTGACGAAATGGAAGGGATAGAAACAAAGTGAAAGGGATAGCAACGAAATGGGTGGGATATTGTTTGAAAATAACGAAGGGTATAAAAACCAAGTGAGGGGGGTTAGCAATCAAGAGATAGGAATAAAATGGATAGGATTTGAACATAATGGAATGTATGGAAACAAAGTGAGAGGGATAGCAACAAAACGGAAAGGGTAGAAACAAAACGGGAACAAAACTTTTCTGTCAGTCACTATTTCAGTGTACCCTTGACAATTATGTTTGCCAATATAATACTGACTTCTTCCTGTCGGTGTACTCGATGTCGAGCCAGATGACGTCAGCAGGTATATCGTGCACGTCGAAGTTGTCATCGACAGCGCGCACGTCGGCCTCGTCCACGTAGTTCCAGCGAGACTGGTGGTACGCTAACGAGAATTTCTGCAAATAAAACATATATAGTTAATCGCCAATAGGGAATATGCATGTGTTTTTTTTTCTTTTTTTAAAAGATTCTACTTGTTATAAAATAACCAGAAAAAAAAATTGACGCGAAAATATTCAACCATTGAGTTAAAAATAATAAAATAAAATTACGACTATTTACGAGCGACTAAAACGCGACTGAAGTTGTCAATAGACAATTGACGTCAATCGTCTTATTCCATTCATTATTTGTTTTAAAGTTGGTTTTAATATCGTGTTTACAGTAAAATACTTCAAGAGTGTATGTCTATATAAACTAACGTAAATGAACTGTGTATTGACAACACAGCGACGCCATATTAAATAAGCCATTTGCTTCGACCAACAGTGTGCGTTTTAGAACTTAGCGAGGGAATTTGAAAAATGACACTTTTTAATGATTAAATTTTGCCACTAAATCACATTACATTAAAAAAAATCTTTGCAGGACTGTTTTTATAGTAATAAAGTATACTTAAAAAAAGTTTGGTGCAATTTGGCGTCATATGCATATTGCCTATAGCCTAATTGTTTGGGGTACGGACTATCGATCTTGGGGTTGACGGTTTGAATCCCGCCATTCGACTATTTTAAACCATATCCTAGAACAAGCCTACAGGTCAATTGGAAGGGTCGAAGGAAATATTGGTATTTTATCAAAAATCTTCTGTTTTTTAAATAAAAAAAAATTACACCGTTTATGCTAAAGACTATACATTTTAATTAAGAAGAAAAAACCTTTAACCGAGATTAAATGAGAAAATTAACAACACAATAAGTTAATAAGTCATAAAAAGGTAAGATAAGTCACTAAATGAAGATTTCTCACATTATTATTAAGGACTCCGTAAGTAATTATTAAATGGATTTGAATAAACAAACAAACATAATGAAAAATGTAACTAACAAAAACATATTTTCCACTACTAATAAAAAAAATTATTAAAAAGTAACGTAGTTCTCATTATCCGTAACATAATAGAAGACATAGTTACCGGTGGTAATGGAGCCACTCCAGTAAGTTTGGTGTACTGCCGGAACACGTCAGCTGGCTTGTTGCCCAGCATCACAAACACGTCCACTATACCAGACTCACTGATGAACCTAATAATGATAAATTAAACATTAATACAATAATTGATACATTAATAGAATAATTCGGGCTAATAGCGAAGAGCTTCGACCAAACCTCAAGAAGCTCTCGCTAGACAGTTGGATTAAGGGCCCGATTCAAAAGGCGGTTATTTCAGAAACCGCACGCATAGTGAGGAGGTTCCTGTCTCTGCCCTGACCACTGGTTGCTTGAGTCATCGGACTCCGCAGCCGGTGGTGCTCTATTTTTTATATAACATATTTTATTTTTATATCAAATCTTGTAAAATGTATTATATAGAGAATAAGAAATAAAGATATATGAAATATAATAAATCTTAATATATATTATATTCAGAGAAGAAAACTTTGATTGTAATAAAAAGGCTCAAAATCTACTGGGCCGTTATTGAAAATTCTTACACCACTTACACATTTCTTTGACTGTAGATAAATGAATATGTTTATTCTAATCTGTACACTGTACACAGTTAAATCTTATGGATAGATGGATGTTTGTTAGAGTTTGTAGCCTAAACTGCTGA